CTCCCAGTATCACCATTCACACCACTGGTGCTGAAGGGATCATCCACTGTGGATTCCCTGTTTCCATTTCCTATCTGTACCAGTGTACATCCTCTGGGCTAGCCAGACTTGCAAGATAGAGTTCAGAACATGATAGTGGGGAGGGGGAGTGGGGTGGGGCAGGAAGCATTTAGGAACTAGAGGAAAGTTGTATTTTTCACCATTGATACATCCCACCCTGACTGGCTCATCTCCTCCCGGAGACCTCTGTGTAAGGGGATCTCCAGTGGCCTACAAATGGGCTTTGGATCTCCACTCCGCACTCCCCCACTCATTCACTATGGTAAGATTTTTTTGTTCTAATGATGCCTGATACCTGATCCCTTCGACACCTCGTGATTGCACAGGCTGGTATACTTCTTCTGTGTGGGCTTTGTTGCTTCTGAGCTAGATGGCCGCTTGTTTACTTTCAAGCCTTTAAGACCCCAAACGCTGTATCTTTTGATAGCCGGACACCATCAGCTTTCTTCATCACATTTGTTTATGCACCCATTTGTCTTCAGCAATCATATCATGGAGGTAAGCACACAATGATATGATTTTTTGTTCTTTGATGCCTGATAACTAATCTAGAAGGATCTTTAAAACCACATATAACTAAACCCACTGCCATCAAGTTGATTCAGACCATAGTAACCTTCTGTAGGGTTTTCTAAGCCTGTAGATTTTGACAGGAACAGATAGCCTTATCTTTTCTCCTCATACTAGCTGGTGGCTTTGAACCAATGACCTCACTTACATGACAGCACCACCAGGGTCTTGATGGGGGAGAGAAGTCACTTCTCGCTCAGTTACTTTCCAGAGCAGGATCCCAAGTCCTGTTTTCCTGCTGGTCATTTCAGTGCCCCTCAGATCTAGGTTATCCTTTTCCCTCGCTGTGCCGGGGGCCCCCGCCCCCCATGCAGAGCTTGAAATAGCTGCTGAGCATCTAAAACACTGTCTAGGCAGCTTCTAATGAGGTGGTTATCACTCTACTGGGTCACCTTTTCTTGTGAAGGGTGGTCATTGTGAGTTGTAGTGTATCCTTCTAGAAAAGGCTGTATTGCTGTGTGTGTGTGTGTGTGTGTGTGTGTGTGTGTGTGTAGCTGAAGTGGAAGGGACAGAGGCCAGGTAATTGAACCAGCTACTTGGCCCTGTGACCCTGCTGCTGCTTTTAGATTCATCCGAGAGTCTCAGATGTCAAGCTTTAGTGCTCTGTGTTGACGTGTGCTCTCAGGGCCCCTGCCGAGTTGAAGCACTCCACCAACTGCCTGAGCAATGCTCACGTGTTCAGTTACGGTCCGTGCAGTGTGCACACGCACGGCCCGATGCCACGGAATTGGCCATTTCCAGCTTTCCAGTTTTTCTTCTTGAATGGATCTCTTATGCTTATTGCATGATGGGTTAGGTATTGGGCTGCTAACCACAAGGCCAGCAGTTCTAAGCCACTAGCCAGGCCATGAGCGAGACATGAGGCTTTCTACTCCCGTAAAGAATCACTGTCTCAGAAACCCTCCGGGCAGTTCTTCCCTGGGCGGTAGGGTCTCTGTGAGGCTGCATCGATCGGCTCTCAACTCCATGGCACTGAATTTGGTGTTGGTTTGGAGGATTCTATCCCAGATCAGTTAATACATTAATACATTGTTTAACCCTCGGGCTGAAAATGCAAGTGGCATTTGAAAAGGTGGGAAAATGGGCTGGTTGATACGGCTTCTTGTGGTAAAATGGCTCTTGGTATTTTGGAATCACAGCTCCCATGTGAAATAAGGAGCCCTCGTGGCGTAGTGGTTACGCATTTGGCTGTGACTCAAAAGGCCAGTGGTTCAAAACCACTAGTGGCTCCAAGGGACAAAGAAGGGGGTTTTTAGGCCTGTAAAGAATTCGTTTCTGAAACTCCCTGTAGGGTTACTCTGAGTCGGCATAGGTTCGATGGCAGTCCATTTGGTTCTTTCCGTTTTATGGTGAAATCGCAGGATTCTTAGACTTGGACCAAGAAACCAGCACTGTGAGGATGGCTTGGGGCTCTTAGGTCGATGATACTCCTCCTCCCCCAGTGCCCTACAATCTACCAGGAAGAACGCCTTTAGGAACAAGATCTTCCTTATTGCTTTGTTCCACAAAGACGCATTGCAACCCAGGTGGCTCGTAAGGCGAGCTAGGAGAGCTGTATAACTTAGGTGGTCCCCGGAAGCACCTGTGCTCTAGAACCGACCAACAAACACGGAGGACAAACACCTGATTGGAACGGACCCTGTCTGGTTTAGTCCAAGGCGACTAGGGACTCATCAGAGTGCGGCCCCAGGCAGCTCAGGACCGTCTTCGCAGGCAGATTCTGGGCTCCTTCTTCACTTGAAAAGGGAGGAAATGTTACCCCTTTAGAATGTACTGCCATCCAGTCAGTTCTGCCTCACAGCGACCCCATGGACAGGCTAGAAATACGGCTGTGGGTTTCTGAGACTCTAACCCTCTATGAAAGTAGAAAGCCTCATCTTTCTCCGGAGTGGCAGCTAATTTCCAATTGTTGGCCTTAGAACTGGTAACCCACGACGCCACCAAGGGCCCTTCCTTTATCGATTACCTCTCATTATTTACTCCACATAGTATACAACTTAATGACTGCATATACTGATTCGGTTTGAGCCCCATAAACAAACCCACGTCGCAACTGTTGAGCTGGTCCTGACTCTGGGAGACCTTACACACTCTACCGCAGAGAGAGACAGTTCACGGCCCCATGGATCACCAGCGTGCTTGTGGCTTTTGTGGGCATTGTGCCAGCCCATCTCACCCACCCCAGATGTGCTGCCCTCCTTCAGCCAGTCATCCCTCCTGATGACCCGTCTGAAACAAGTGAGTTGGCCCATGTCATGCTGAGACCCATAAGGTGTTCACTGGTTAATTTTCAGATGTAGAGGGCCCAGCCTTTCTTCCTAGTCTGTCTTAGTCTGGAAGCTGCACGAAAGCGTGTCCACAAGAGGAGACCCTGTTGTCATTTGAAATACTGGTGACATAGCTTCTTAAAGTCATAGCAACAGGGAAACCAACACAGTGTGCTGAGCTGGCAGAGAGATGGCATGGTAGGATAGAGCCACACCCCGCCAAGAATCAACCTAAGTCATTGCCATTGAGTCAATGCTGACTCATAGTGACCCTGTAGCACATGGTAGAACTGCCCCTGTGAGTTTCTGAGACTAACTTCTCCTAAGAGTAGTAGAAAAACTCATCTTTCTCCCACTGAGTGACTGCTGGTTTCAAACTGCTTACACTGTGGTTAGTAGCCCAACTCATAACCCACA